TTTTTTTTTTTTTTTTTAAATCTTGTGCGAGTTTCATGCTGAAAGCTCTTTGCAGAGAGCAAGCTTTGGCAAATGAGCAAAAATAGTGCAAGAATCTGCCCTGCAAAAATGTTGCTTCATTTGGTATTTGCTTTTATCAGTAGCATTGCTAAGCTACTTTTAGGAGGGAAAAGGAAAAGAAAAATGACATGTCTAATTCCAGTTCCTGGAAGCCAATTACAGGGCCCAAGTGTGATTTATCCCACCTGATGGTTACCACACTGCCCGGATGAATAACCTTGCATTTTGGGCAAGGGCTCTGGGAAGTGTGCCTGGGAGCAAAGTTTTATGAGTGATGGTACAGATGGTACTTCTGCTTATGACGAGTACCAGAATTGTCGTCTTCAATTCTGTGTACCTAACTAGAGGGATGACCACCTCCAGAGTCTCCCTGTCTGCTTCCTTAGGTTATTTGCCTTTTCTGTATAAAATCTGGCAGTTCTGCCTCTGCTGAGCTTGCAGGCAGTCAGAGGTCACCACCTGTAATGAGGAGACAGCGTCCTCTTGCAGGAGTCAACGTAAAGATCAAAGGGGAGAAGCTGGAAAACACTTCTTGTAGTAACAATAACTGTTGTGTTTTTGTCATTAGTGTGTCCATTTAAGCGATCTCTGCTCCTTCCTTCGTCAGAGAGGCTGTCAGGAACTGGAGCTAAGCATGGCAAGCAGCAGGTTTGGGCCCGAGTGCAAGCTCTGCAAGCAGCTGGCCCCTGTCTCCTTTGTCGAGTGTCCCCTCGAGAACTGCTATCTCCTCCCCACATCTTCATGTTTCCTGTGTTTCTTGCGGCTAAATGGCCCTGTTTCTATGTGTGCCGCAGGGCGGTCTTGAGGCCTCACAGCTGATACCAGCAGAGGTCGGGCATGAAGTTCTCCTCCCTGTAGCTCCACAGGCTTCACCGTGTCCTTCATGCCAGGGTTTAGGGTCAAACAGCTGTCGGATTTGCGTGACTGTCAGCACCTGACTGCCACTATAAAACATAGTGTTACATTGCAGTGTCTGTGGCCCAGCTCCGTGGTGCCCGTCTGAGGTAGATGTGTGAACCCACTTCCTCGTTCCGCAGATATCTTGGTGAGACGTCAGTCATGGCCGCTGTAAAAGCAGCGGGGTGGTGGAATGGGGAAGCTGCTGGCAAGGTCTGCTGGCGGTCACATAAGCAGGATGGAGGTTGGATTTCCCCCTGCTCAAGGAGTCGTCCTCAACTTTGTGATACAAACATGATTTTAATGCAGAGATGGTCATGAGAGCTGCAATCAACTTTCATGAGGAGTTTTATAGAGGAGTTTTTTTTTTTTAAGAGAAAACTCCTTCTGACTTGTTCACAGTCATGGGTCAAGGTTACAAAAAGTGACTTGTCTGGCATCAGTATCTCTGATTTCTTGTGGCTGTTGCTCTCATAGGTTACTTTCATTCTGGTGTGTGATCATATTTTACATTGTGTCTCTAGCACATCTGTAGATGTTGTTTCTGTGGAAAAGGGTCTGTAAAAGTCCCCTGCTTGCATTAATTACCCCAGGTGCCCTTTGCTGCAGGAGCTGTGAGAAGGAAGTCTATGTGGCTGGACAGTTGTTGGGTTGCCTGCCACAGACAACAGTCAGGAGCATCTGCACCGATGCACATGTACTAGATAAAATCTGAAACTTTCCTACATCTCCTTCTTGTATTTTGATGCTGTCCCATTGATTTGGCATCTCCCACGGACACAGGTTTAAGGACAGTGGTTCAAGTGATTCTTGATCTATCTGGGGTTTTGTGCATTCAGGAATCCCAGAGAATCAAAACTAAATTGCTCCGTTTGCTGTCAGCGTTCAGAATGGAACTGGAAAGTTGCAGAAGTATTTTGTTAATGGGAAGCAGGAAGTAAGGGGCTTAGGTTTTGTTTGTTTTTGTTAAATGCTTGTAATGAGCTCTCTGGTCTTCACCCTTTTTAAAGATTTTGAAGTAACAAAAGTCAAAATTTCCACTGCACTATCAAGTACTTTCTAGTTGTTGCCAGTGTTATATAGAAAATACCGAGACCATTGATGGTCATGCTGGTAGAAAACAGACATTAAGATTACTATAAATACTGAGGTTTATTTTTAAGTAATTTTTATCGCTCTTGTTGATGTGTGTGATTTTTTTTTTTAACTTCTCTGTTTATTAATCAAATTAGTCTAAATCGGCCATTTAGCTTA